CTCCTCGCCGCGGGCGGATCGGGGCGCGCCGTGCCGCGCCCCCGGATCGCGGCCGCACGGGCAGAGCAGGCCTCGCGTCACTGGAGGGGTCGCGGAGTCGGGGGACAAGCTGCTCCTCTGGTCCAGGCGAAGCGCGGGCACCACGTCCGGTGAGCAGTTTTTGTGGAAGCTCTGCCTGGCAGATGCCGCCTCGGCTCAGCAGCCTTTCTTCGCCTCCAGCGGCCTTTCGTCTATTCTTGGCGGCCTTCGGCTGCTTTTTGGTCCGCTTTTAGCAGCCTCTAGTGGCATTTCGCGACCTTAGTGGCGGCCTTCAGTGGCCTTCGGCGGCCTCAGCATCCCTGAGGAAATGCACAAGGGTGAATTCTGTATGTCAAAATGGGCTTCCAAGAAGACTCACTGGAACGAAAAAGAGGCTCCCCGATCTAGATTTCTGAATCGGCCCGACAGGCCCAAGCAGTCCATGTCTCAAAGTCTTGCCCTTACGCCGCGGGGGGGCGGCCTTCCTAAAGAGGTCCTCCTCATCCTTCCTACTCCCGCTGCTCCCCCTCCTCACACCACTGGGGGGCAACGATAGGGGGGGGACTGGCATAGGGGGGGGATTCATCGACCTGGAATCGGCGATATACATAGCCGACGGATCGGCGATAGGCCCCCGTTAGGGAATCCGCACCTTCCTGGGCAGGTCGGGGCTATCGGGCTCATCGGCGATCAATGGGCGATTGGGGGTCGACGCATCCCCCCCCCCCCTATGCCTATCCCCGCCTATCGTTAAAACAGGGCTAGGATCGGGATAAATCGCTCCAGAGCGTTCCAGAGCGCTCTCAGAGCGTTCCGGAACGCTCTGGAGCGGCCGCGGCGCCCAATACATCCTCCAAACCCGCCGATTCTCAGAGATTTCGACTTTTTCCGATCCGATTTTGTCCCGATCTTCGCGTCGTTTTAATCGTTGCCCCTGGACCACGTCTGGCGGCCTGGGGACTCCAGCAGGGCTGGGCGCCCCGGACCAAGAGCAGGGCGGCCGGCCCGTCGCCATCCTTTTGGCTTCCAGGAGGGGCGGCTTCGGGCCTCGGGGCCGCCCAGACGCCCGAGATCTGTCTGGCCCTCCTCGGTGCAGCGCGCCATGCGCTCGCTGTGCGGGCCATGTCTTACAGTACAGTCGGGGAATTGACCTAAGGAGCGAAAAATTCGCCGGCCCAACGGGCCAAGGCGTGCTAAGATCTCCGGTACCTGGTTAACAGTATTTCTAGTTCGCGCGCGCGGGGCGGCCCCTGGGGGTCCCCGGACGAAAAGTACCCCGGCAAGGTCCCGGCAAGTCCCCGGCCCGGCAAGGTCGGGCCAGAGATGCCGGAGCCCTGTTACAGGGCCCCAGGACGGGCCAAGAGGTCCCCAAGAAGCCTCCAAGACGGTCCAAGAGGGCCCCGAGACGGCCAAAGATCGCCCGAAGACGCCCAACAGGGCCCCAAGACAGCCCAAGAGGCCTCCAAGACGCCCCAAGGGCCTTCCAAGAGGCCTCCGAAGAGGGCCCCAAGAGGCCAAAATCGTTGATTTTCATTGTTTTTTTCTATGTTTTTTGCGTTCTGGCTTTTTCGGCTTCCGGACGCTCCAAGACGGCCCAAGAGGCCCCCAAGACCGCTCCAAGACGGCCCACGAGGCTCCCAAGACGGCCCCGGAACGGCCCAGGAGGGCCCCCAAGACGGCCCAAGTGCCGCCCAAGACGGACCAAGAGGCCCCAAGACGGGCCCAAGAGGGGCTCAAGAGGGGAACCGAGAACTGAAAAATCGAGCCCTCCGCCCCAGAAGGCGCCCAGGAGGCCCCAAAAAGGCCCCAAGAGGCCCCCAAGAGGCCCCCAAGACGCCCCAAGAGGCGCCCAAGAGGCCCAAAAGAGGCCCCAAGAGGCCCCAAAACGGCCCCCAAGAGGCCCCAAACTCGGCTAGCCCACAACGGTGCGACAATATGGGCCGGCGGAATGAGCGAAGGGCGATTAATAAAGACCGAGGCCCCCTTTTCCCTACAATAAAAACTCAATTTTCCATGGAAAAACCTCAGGCAAACCCAGGAGCAGAGCAACGAAGGATAACACGGGCCCCGTCCCCAACCAAATGTGATATCCTTCTTCCGGGCCCCCTGACTCATAAAGGGGCCCTTGTGCTTTCGCCCCAACTTATCGCCCTGCACCGGCCACTAAACAGCGATGTGTAGGAGCATATCTGGAATCATTCCCCTTTAAGATTCAGATGAGAATCCAGTTGTAGAATTCTGCTGTTCTCGCAGTCGTCGTCGCATTCGCGATGACAGTCGCAGTGGCAACGGCAGTCGCAGTCACAGCCTCAGCCTCAGCCTGCCTCAGCCTCAGCCTCAGCCTGCCTCAGCCTCAGCCTTCCTCAGCCTCAGCCTCAGCCTGCTTCAGCCTCAGCCTCAGTCTGCCTTCAGCCTCGGCCTCAGCCTCAGCCTGCCTCAGCCTCAGCCTGCATCAGCCTCAGCCTCAGCCTCAGCCTGCCTCAGCAACAGCCTGCTTCAGCCTCAGCCTCAGCCTGCCTCAGCCTCAGCCTCAGTCTGCTTCAGCATCAGCCTCAGTCTGCCTTCAGCCTCGGCCTCAGCCTCAGCCTGCCTCAGCCTCAGCCTGCCTCGGCCGCAGCATCAGCCTGCCTCAGCATTCAAAATGTGGCCCAGGAATGGAGTTTTGGGAACTAGAAGAACACGAAGTGGCCTACAGTTGGCTCCGGGCATTCAAAATCATGCCCAGGAATGAAGTTCTGGGAACTCGAAGACCACGAAGTGGCCTACAGTTGGCTCCGGGCATCCAAAATGTGGCCCGGGAATGGAGTTCTGGGAACTCGAAGACCACGAAGTGGCCTACAGTTGGCTCCGGGCATCCAAAATGTGGCCCGGGAATGAGTTCTGGGAAGTCGAAGAGCACGAAGTGGCCTACAGTTGGCTCCGGGCATCCAAAATGTGGCCCGGGAATGGAGTTCTGGGAAGTCGAAGAGCATGAAGTGGCCTACAGTTGGCTCCGGGCATCCAAAATGTGGCCCGGGAATGGAGTTCTGGGGGCACCAAGAGCGATTTTGCGAGGATGTCCCAAGCGATTTCGGCTTCGACGGCAGCCTCCCCGGGTCCCGCCCAGAACCCCCTGAGGAGTCATGATGCTCTCTTTTGAGACCACTAGAAACCTATCAGCAAGAGCTGTTAGGTAAAAATAGTCTTTAGATAGTGTGGGGACGATGTGTTGATTACCTTGGTCTATGTTTGAACATTTTGGTTGTAGAAAAAGAACCGTCCAACATCCGCCTGTAGGAGGACATGCCCGACCTAACTCTAGGGAGGGGGGGGTTCAGGGGCAAGGCGACGGCCAGGCACTTCGGCTCAGCGCGTCGCGCGCCGCCGCTTCTGCCCCCACCGCGCTTCGGCGCGACGTGCAAGCCACAGCCAGGCCCGCCGGGCATCAGCCTCACGAGCTCTGGAGCCTCCCGCCCCGCGGAGCGAAGCAGCACGCCATCCGCTCGCAAGGCACTGCGTGTCGCCGGGGCCGCCGCGGCGGCACGCCATGTGCAAAAGTGGATGGCCGTAGGCTCAGGGGCTCCCCCGCGCCGTGGGGACTCTCGGCGGCAGGTTTTCGGGCTGGTTTCAGCGTCCAGTTGTTTTCACCGGGCCCCAGGGGGCTGTCACGAACCGACTCGGGATGAAGAACCATTCTCCAGGTATGGGGGAGTGACCCCCCCCCCCCCCCCCCGATTTCCGGGCGCGGGGAGGGATTTTATGTGGGGGGGGAAGCGGGGGGAACGGTGGGGGGGGTCCAGTGAGGGAGGGGGGGATCTTTCGGAGGGGGCGGGGTGGGACACCGGGCTCCCTGGTTCCGCCGGTACGTTCCTTTCCACAGTTCAAGCGGCGGTGGCGCACGTTCTCTCTCAGACCCTCGGCGTTCAACGTTGGCGGCGGGATAGGCTCTCGGGCAGGGGCGCGCGGCGAGCCCCCGTCGCCACTGCCGTCGACTTCTTCTTCTCTCCCATAATGTGTCTATTCCTCCGAGCTCCCCGAGGAAGAGTGAGGGAGGAGGAGGAGGAGGACGAGGCAAAGAGGCAGGGCGGCGAGGAGGAGGAGGAGAAGGAGGAGGAGGAGGACAATGAGGAGGAGGAGGACAATGATGAGGAGGAGGAGGAGGAGGAGGAGGAGGAGGAGGAGGAGAAGGGACGGCCCGGTGGTCCACCCCGTCCGGAGGCGCGCGGCGTCGCCGTCGGGGCCCCGTCGCTCTCGCGCTCCTGTGGCTCGGCCCCCCCCCCCCGGTCGCGAGATCGAATACGCCAGATTTCGCAATAAAAGGGAGGGGGTCTGGACCCTCCAAGACAAGCCATTTCTCAGGAGCGAAAGAAGGACGTACATGTACACTAGAACCACGCGCGCGCTTCGCGCGCGCTTAGGTTCTAGCTAGGATCGTCACCGTCGTCATCATGAACATCACCATCGCCATCATTCCCCCCGCCAGGGCTAATGTACATCGTTTCTGGATGCTTCTGGCCGGAATACGAAAGGAGTTTCTGTAGTTAGAGTCTCTGGGGGAAGTCGCGGGGCCCCTCAGGATACTTACGGATGCCTCTGATAATCCCCCAGCGTGCCCCACGAGATGGCCAGAGGGTGCCCGAACAGAACCCGAGGACGTCGACGACGGCGGCGATGAAGACGGCGGCGATCGCGGCGACGAAGGTAGCGGCGGTTGCCATGGGTTAGTACCCAATCAGAGCTTGCCTCTGTAAGGGTCCTGGCGGATTAAAAGGTTCGATGAGGTTCGGCAAGATTCCGGCCCCATGCGGCTGGGCCGGGTGCCCGGGTGCCCGGGTGCCCGGGTGCCCGGTGCCTGGGTGCCTGGGTGCCCGGTGCCCGGGTGCCGGGGTGCCTGGGGGTGCCCTATAGCCCTGTAGCCCTATTGCCCTATAGCCGTATAGCCCTATAGGACTATAGCCCAATAGCCCTATATCCTTATATCCATCTAGCCCTTTAGCTCTATA